GGAGCTCCCCGGGCCCTGGGAGAGAGGTGCTGAGCTGCTGCACCCTCCTGGCCTCGGAGGGCGTCATGGACGCGCGGGCCAGGGTGGGTGTCTCCCGAAGCCTCGTATCCACTGCAGACGCTGAGCTTCTGGCTTAATGTGTTAAACTGGGGCATTCGGAAGGTGCTGGAGGATTTGGACCCTTCACGTTGCTACGTTGTTACTCGAGTTGAGTCTGATTCACTCTGAGGTGCTGCTTTGGTTTCAGGGGATGAGCAGGTCTTTCCTAAAATCCAGCCTGAAAAGACACCGTAGGGAGAGATCAGCAAGATGAAAAAATAAATCTCAAGTTGCTGTGCAGCTCATCTGCGCTGATAAGCAACTGCTTGTCTGTCTCCCATGACTACCCTTCTTTTCAGGAAAGGCCCTTCCCTCAGGTGGTAGCTCAGTGAGGTCAGAGAAGAGGGTGATGTGGAAGAAAGCCAAAGGCATCTACTTGTGGTGTTTGATTTTTTTCAGTTGTTTTTGTGTAGTGGGAGCATTATTTAAAATTGCCCTAAGAATTTTTTCTTTGGATGCTAAATGTGAAAGTCTCCTCAGTATTTAAAGAGGGTTGTGGGGAAAAATTAGCATACTCTACTGAGTGATGTGTTCTAAAGTGTCCTGAGATTATTTATAAGCACTGTATCTCATAAACTACAAGGAAAAAAAACTTGCTTTAAGGATTTTTATTAAGTTGTTGTTCTTGGAATTGTTGAAGGAACTTTTCAGTTGTACTTTCTTAAAAAAAAGATATACCCAACTGAATCAAAGATGTGAGTTATGGCAAGATATTCTACATGCTGTACTTGTTCATAGCAGTGAGTTCCAAATAATTTTCCCCTGAGAAGTGTTTGCTTTTTATTGTATGACATTGAAGAAATCTTTTGTATTTGTACAGATAGTGTAGTGCTTCATAGAAAAATGTAGTCTTTGTGGCACAAACTGTCATTATCTTAAAAAGGCTGGTCTTCAAAATGCTTTTGGAGCAAGAGTCATGTGATAGATTCCTCTCCTTCCAAGGAATAGATTATCCCCTTGCCTGTTGAGTCTGCAGAGAAATAGTTCTGGAGATGCTCTGGTATTCAACAGCACAGTTGATCCAAGATGTAATTTACAGGCCCTAGGAACAAGAGCTTGGGAGCAGCAGGTCTTGGAGATAGTAGAACAGATACGAAGAGGATGATGATTGCAGTCACTCTCTAGGTGTGTGTATGTGGGAAATGTGGATTCTTTTTGCTTGCATTATGTTGTGGCAGCAAGCTGATGATGAGAGCAGTTGCCTCCTTCAGGTGTCAGTCTCATGCTTTTCCCTGTTCTCTTATAGAGCCTGTTCCTCCAAAGTTCTGCTGGCCACCATGATGTAACTTCAGTAGGAACAACCACCTGATTGTTCAAAAGCAAACAAGCCTCCATGACATAGTGCTTCTGCTGCCTAGCCCCAGGATTGCTAGCTAGGAAGATAACTTCCTGACTTGCTGCTTTAACTTCAGACTCGGTGCAATAGATTCCTCCAGATCAAAATCTGAGCAGCTTATTTTCACATCCTTTTCCAGGTTGCCCCTCGTGCACCTTCATCACTAGCCTGCCAAGTACTAGAGTTGCTCTGTACTTGTGAAAGGTGAACAGAATAAAAAGTTACACAGGTCTGTGTGTAAATACAATTTATAGAGATAAATCAAGTCCTGTTGTTTGTGAAGCAGGGAATCAGTCTTGATCTCTTGATAATAAAGACCAGCTGAAGCAGTAGATTCTGGTCTAAACGTGAGTGGTGGGGTTATAGTGAATTGGAATGACTTTTACCTCTTCAGCAGGTTTCAAGTGTGTTTGGGGAAAAAGAGTAGAGAGAAGCCAAAGGTGGTTTGTTTTTGTTTGTTTTTTTTTTTTTTTTCAAAGCAAAGAAAGAGCTACACTGTGACCTACGTCAGCTGGATTTTATTCTTTCTTGATAAGCTTCCAGCTCAGGTTTTGCAAACCTGCTTTGTTTACGGGGTCATAGTAGGTGCAGATGATTGAATTATAGCCATAAAACTGACTCTAGGGAGATGGGACAGCTGTTTTGTTTAATGTAGTCCCCAGGTGGTTTTGTTTTTTAAGATACCAGCAGACTTGCAGACATAGTGAGATCTGTAGATCTGTCCTGAGTTTTCCCTAGGAAATACATCAGACAGCTATATAAGTGGTGTTTTTATTACACAACTTGGACAAGTCTCTTCAGTTTAGCTTTCATTTAACGGAAGACATTTTACTTAAGGATTCAGACTTCTGTAAGCTCACCTTCATTTGATGTGCTTGTTTTATGGCCCTGTCTGCAGTGGCAGTAACCAGTGATGCACTTGTAGTTGGTGGCACTCTGCTAGATAAACCTGTATGTGAGGAACGTCTTGACCAGACCAAGTGTTATCAACTCACATGGTTCAGAGCCTCAAGCCTCTGCAGCAGGGTTACTGTTACTAGCCTAGTCTGAAAGGCCTGCTGAGCAAGTAAGGTAGTCATGTAACTGTTGGCAGGAAAGTTTCAGGGAAGATGCCTTTGCTTATTTGCTGCTCTTATAGGTATCCCTGGAAGGTCCTAGCTTCTTCTTCAGCTGTACAACCACAGGATTTATTTTAGTGCAGGAATCAGTTCTAGTCTATATTTAGCTTGAAGGAGAGCAGTTTCTTGTTCCTTTCATCTTTTGCTGCAGAAAACCTCAGCGCATGAATTTTCTGAGCTTTTTTGTGGTTTAATTTTATCTCCTGTCTTCCCTCTCTGGGAGAAGGCAGTGCAAATGGTGTCAGTCAATGCTTTCTGCACAGCCAGATCTATAGCAGGTGCATGCAGTTTTGTAGCCCCCTGAGGATCTGTCCCTCTAGAGTACTGAAATTCTTGAAGCCTGATTTTTTTTCTGAATCCCAGCAAGTTACTTTGTAACAGGCAGGCGTAAGATTGTTGAGACTTCAAAATCTCCTCTTTGGCATCTTAATGCAGGGTGAAAGTTGCAATGAAATCTTTACAGTTTTAAGTTAGCCTATTTGCTCAAATGTGTTATTGGGTAGGGCAGTGGAAAGGATCTCGCTATCTACCTAGCAACAGTCATGAGCTATGAATAGATTACTAAGTTTGTTTTATTCTTGTTACTATGGATGACAATTGATGAATCTTCTGAGATTTGATTGCCCCTTACTGTTTTGTTATATATTTGTAAGTTTTCATAGTCAGTAGCAGACAATCCAGCTATATTGGTGATGATGGGGAATGGATTTTGCAGCAGACCTCACAGTTAAGTGTTTTGATTTGTTTAAAGTGAAAACAAAATTAGTAGAGTTTGCATTACTTCCTGTGACTTCTAGGGAGGAGAAGATGCTAAATTTACAAAGCCTAGCTAGCCTATTAAGATAGCAAAAGATAGGTTAGAGTCAAGCTTCCACTGAAATTAAAGAAATAATTATCTGCAAAAGTGGAAACTATTGCTGGCTTTATAAAGTTTTTGTTTCAAAAAGATTAAATGATTTTTGTATGTTCTAGCACATGAGTTAATGCTTCTAGAATTAAGCTGTCTAGTGTGGTGGTTGTGTGGTGTTTTGGGTGGTTTGTTTCCTCCAGTAGTTTGTGTTCTGTACAAGGAAGGAGTTGGTGAGAGTTTTCTTCAGTTTATTTGACATGGAGTGTCTGTGCTGTGGTTTTTAATGTGACTTCACTAAATTCATAATTACATGATATCAGTAAACTCCTTTCTGAAAAATATGTTCAATAGTGGCTGAAAGCTAAAATGTTAGGAATTCTATGTAAAAGAACTTGAAGACAGTTAAACATTATTATTGCTCATAAATGCTTAAAGAAGCCACCATCATAATTGCCAAATGCTTTTCTTCTTGTCTTAATCTGGAAAAGGATATAGTAGAACTGGAGAAGATTCTGCAATAAATCATGTAAGGAAGTTGCAGAATAAAGTGTGCCTGCTCACCTCAGAAGAGATGATTCAAAGAAAGATCTTTAAGACTTGGGGTGAGCCCAAAAAAGTGAATAGGCAGCATTTGCTTGTGTCTTGCAGTACAATCGATAGATAGCATCTGATGGTGTGTATTGAAGAGTACAAAAGTATAAAGAGTTTTATATATATATGTGTATCAGATATGTCATTGATTATCAACAAAGATAGATGGATTGAAGCCTGTTATTCAGGGAGACTTACTCTTCCAAAGCAGGGAGCTCTGTGGAAGTTCCAGCATTTGCTCTGGTTTGAGGTGGTTTGATTTTGTGTGGTTGTTTTTTTATATTGTTCCCTAAAGCATCCTTTGCTTGATATTTAGGAAGCAGCATACAGGGTGGATAGGTTTTTCACCAAACCCTGTATGTGACTTACTTTATCATGTGTGGCCTTCACTGCTAATTTTTGTAAAAATAGACAATCCTAGTCTATGGTTGCAGCTTTAAAGGGAAATATAAAATGTATCTATTATGAGCCAACTTGCAGGACCCTGGTTATTGACTGAGCACAGTGATTCAGCTAGGATTATTACATTTACATCGTATGGAGAGGAACTCACTAGGAGCATAGGATAACTTGAGCTATTTTAAGCAGACAGTGCTGCAGTCATCTGGAAAGTTACTTATATTAGCAGAAGAATGAGAACTGGAAGAGACAAAATTTTTAAACTAAGCAGCTGTAATTACATTTGGAAACTTTCTTGTAATCTGTCCACTTTACAGATCAAGGTACTGAGAAGCATGAAGGAGCAAGTACCTCTGGGATTACTGATCAGGAGAAGGAGCTGTCGAGCAGTGCATTGCAAGCCTTTCTGGTAAGGCAAAGTCAAGCTCTGAGACTTCTTATTTACTACATAACTGCTAAATGGGCCTATATAATTTTCCTGTTTTTTAGTACAGTTGCAAAGGTATTAATGGGATGTTATAACACAACTAGTACTACTTTTGCTATAAAGCTAGCACATGCATTTTCTGCTTGCTCTGATGTGAGAAGACTGATGGGGATACTTGAACAAGGTGTGCAAGCATATGTTTAATCTTGATTCTCAAAACTTCGTGGCATTAAAAGCTGTGTAATGAGTTAATTAGAAGAAGCAGGCTGCTGTTCTGTATCAGCTTGGAAGAGAGTGATCTCACTGAAGGATTGCTTCAAGCTTAAATTGCTGTTAAAGGATTTAAAGAAACCACATGTATTTAAAAAGCAGCAACCAAACAAACCTTTTTCATTTTAGCATCTTACTGTATTCTTTCACAAAAAGTGCTGTATACTGTTCTGTCACTTTCCATTCAAACTTACTCTTCAACATGTAACACCTGCCAGCAACATTCATTTCCTGTTTTCTGTGTCTTGTAAGGTATTTCTTTGTGTGTTAAAATTCAGGTGCCAGGTCTTTCAGTTTACTTTTTTTGTATTGTCTCCTAATTTTACTTAGTGTAGCAAGTGACAGGAGCTATAATTGCTTTTGCTTTAGGTTGTTATATGTGTACCTCCAGAGTGCCTTGCATAACTGTTTTGAATGTGTTAAACAAGTGAAGAGAAGAATTGAAATACTGTCTTGTAAGATTCCTGCTTGTGTATTTCACTGGTTACTTTTATTTTGTCTGGAATATTGTGAAGTGCACTCTAGTTGGTTTTTAACCTGACAAGAGCTGGTGGTGTTCACTGATGTCGTCTTGAGTGCTTTCTAGCTCAACTGCTCTTTTTCAGTAACATTTTGTTTATTGGCATTTGATCCTGAGAATTAAAGGCACATGAAAGGGTTGTTAGTTTTCCACCTTGCTTATAGATCTACATGCTTAAAATGCTTACGATCTGCTGATAACTTTAGTTTTGGTAAAGGTTCTTCAGGTATGTAAACAACAAATAGAAACAGAAGGAAAATATTGTCTCACTGTTAAACAGGAGAGGTGGGTTAATTGCCAACAGTGCTGAAAGGACAGAGGTGCTCAACGTTTTCTTCACCTCTGTCTTTACCAGCACTGCTGGGCCCCACTTGCAGAGGATACTCTCATAGAACTTAGTATTTATTAGTATATTAGTATTATAGAAGCTGATTTAGAGCTTGTATCTTCTAATGCATGTTTCTGGTATGTGTGCAATTTGCAGGCTGGAAACTATGATGATTGTTTACAACACCTAAATACCCTTCAAGACATAAACAAAGATGACTACAAAATAACTTTGAACACTGCTGTTGCAGAGTTCTGTAAGAGCAACCAGACTACAACAGACAATTTGAGACAAACTCTTAACCAGCTGAAGAACCAGGTAATGAAAACATATTGACATGGTACTTGATTTTCATTGCTGTTAAGGGTGGTGAGGTTGTCCAGTGAAATAGAATAAAGCTTCTGCCTCTTTTCCTCTAGATTTACTAAAGGAATAAGAAAGTAACATTACTTTTAAATCTCCATGTCAGTTTAATAATTTCTGATACTGTTTTTATAGTTATGTTTTAGTGACTGTTGAAACTGAGATGAAGCTGAAGCATTTCAGAGATAACTACAGAAAGACCCCCTGTGTTCTTCCTTAAAAAGTTCCTTAACCTGAAACAGTTTGTGAAATAATAAAGTGAAAATATTACTGTGCTACTCAATTGGCATCTTGCTATTTCATTGTAAATTTTTTGCTGGATATGTGTAGAGCAACAAAGTTTACTAGCTTATAAGTTTTGCTGACCTACCTCTATACAGATGGATACCTTTGTATTTTATTTTTTTAAAATATTTGACACGTTTTAAATTCATAGGTACTGAAAGCTTAATGCCGTGAGTTGTTTTTTTCCTTCAGGTTCACTCTGTTGTTGAAGAAATGGATGGTTTAGATGATGTTGAGAACAGTATGCTGTACTACAATCAAGCTGTTATTTTGTATCATCTGCGTCAGTACACTGAAGCTATTTCCGTTGGAGAGAAGCTGTACCAGTTCATCGAGCCTTTTGGTAGGTGGGCAGAAACAGTAACTACAGAAGGGCCATTCAGTCTTTCCCACTAGCAAAGAAGTGATTTATAGTGTGCCTAGTGTGGTTCTAAGGAAGTAGGTAGGCTTTGCAATGAAGAATTCCAAGAACAATTGGAAGGACAACTACTGAATTTGGGTGAAGGTACTTCAGAGACATTTAGCAGACAAATATAATGCAACTGAAATGGATTTTTGACAATTTAAAAAGGTATTTATGTAAATAATACGTACAGGCTAATTAAATGATTTAAAATCCAGTATTTTTGAGTTATCATACAACTTCATGGGTGGATGTGTATTTGTGAGGGCACTCACATTTTTTTAAATAACTGCATTAGGTCATGCATAGTTGTGTGTGTTCATATGTGATTCTGAAGTCTTCAGCTTTTATGAACTATGGCACCCTGTATAATGGAATTGCTGTACTTGTATGGAATAACTTCATAATCCTCATTGAATTTTAGAGGTGACAAGGCTGAAGGACGTGTGTGTGTGTCTCCATAAGTCAAGTAAATGCCACTGTGCTTCTCCTTCAGTTCCAGTTTTCGGTATGCCTATTTAGGACTTACTCTGTGAAGCCAACTAAGCAGAGATATGTTTGTATGGAATCCTTTCAAGTTCTGTGGGATTCAGCATACGCCTCTGTCTGTTTAGATGCTGGATCTCTGGTGCTGATCTGCTGAGACCAATTCTCAAAGTCTGTGAACATGAAATACATGTGAAGCTGTCTGTACTCTATGCTTTTATGCTGATGTCTGTTGAACAATGCTGTTGAGTTGAGACCTGGCAGAGTGACGGAGCTCAGAGGGGTTGCGATCAGTGGAGCAGGGCCTGATGGAGACCTGTAGCTAGTGCTCTTCCCCAGGGGTCTATACTGGGTCCAGTCTCATTCAACATAATCATCAGTGACCCAGATGAAGGGGTGAGGTGCACCCTCAGGAAGCTTGCTGATGCAAAACTGGGAGGAGTGGCTGACACACCAGAAGGCTGTGCTGCCATCCAGCGAGACCTGGGCATGCTGCAGAGTTGAGCAGAGGGGAACCTGATGGAGTTCAACAAGGGCAAGTGTAGGATCCTGCACCTGGGGAGGAATAACCTCAGATTAGGGGTTGACCTGCTGGATGTGGGTCCACAGAGAAGGAGCTGGGAGTCCTTGTGGGCAGAAGTTAGCCATGAGACAGCAGTGTGCCTTTGTAGCCAAGAAGGCCAATAGTATCCTGGGGTGCATTCAGAAGAGTGACCAGCAGGTCAAGGGAAGTTCTTTTCCCTCTCTACTCTGCCCCAGTGAGGCCACATCTGGAGTCCTGTATCCAGTTCTAGGCTCCCCAGTTCAAGAGAGATAAGGGACTACTGGAGAGAGTCCAAGAAAGGGCTACATGGATGAGGAGGGGACTGGAACCTCTCTTATGAGGAAAGGCTGAGAGATCTGGGTCTGTTGAGGCTGGAGAAGACTGAGAGGGGATCTTATCAATGCTTATAAATATCTGAAGGGTGGGTGTCAAGAGGGTGGGGCCAGACTCTTTTCAGTGATGCCAGCAGTAAGACAAGGGGCAGTGGGCACTGTTGTGGTTTGAACCTTGGAATGGGGGCGTGACCTTCCAGCAACTGGGAGGACCCCGGGTGGGGGTGAAACCATTGTATTCCCTCCCCTTCCCACACACACTCTGATAAGAGGCAGGGAGTGGTTTCTTATTTCACTCCTGCCTTGGAGCTCGGAGAGGAAAGTTGTCCTTTCACTCCGTGGGACCCTGGAACCATTTCTGAGGGTTTTGTATATTTTATTTTTTGTATTTTTCCCCTAATCTTTGTATATATTATTTTCCTTACCTCCCTTTTTCGTTTTCTGTTCCTTGTAGCACAATATACTTCATTTTTTTTTTCCAAAGTGTCTCTCTCTCTCTCTCGGGCGGGGGGAGAGGTGAGTACATAGTTCTGTTCCATGTGGGTCCTGCCCTGAACCCCTTTTTACATGGAACCAGGACAGGGCACAAACTAGAACACAAGAAGTTTCACCTCAACATCAGGAGAAACTTCTTTACTCTGAGGTTGACAGAGCCCTGGAACAGGCTCCCCAGATGAGGTGGTGGAGTCTCCTTCGCTGGAGACTTTCAAAACTCCCTTGGATGCCATTCTTGTGCAACCTGATTCTAGGTTAACGTGCTTGGGCAGGGGCATTAGACTAGGTGGTCTCCAGAGGTCTCTTCTAAGCCCTACCATTTTGTTTCTATGAATTTTTTTTCCCCCCATTATATGTACTTAACTACATTGTATAGGTATCTGGGTTTCTTGGGGTATGTAATAAAAATTTTTCTCATAATGTTGCATAGATGCATTTTATAGTATTTTTTTTTCTTTAGTCATGTTTGGAAAGTTTGGTATTAGAGCTGTGAAATAATTTTTATTTCTTTGCCTTATACAGAAGAGAAGTTTGCCCAGGCTGTGTGCTTCTTGCTTGTAGACTTGTACCTGCTAACTTACCAAGCTGAGAAAGCCTTGCATCTGCTTGCTGTTCTGGAAAAAATGATTTCACAGGGCAACAATAACAGCAAGAATGGAAAAAATGAAGTAAGCTTAAAATTATATGAATGCCTTTAAGTCTTTGCCAGAAGTATGCTTTAACTCTGTCCAAAACTACTCTTTAAAATACTTTCAAATTATAAAACCAGCAGATCACCTGTAACTTCAGACAGGAACTAATATGTTAGTAACTAAGTTAGTCATGTACAGTGGCTGTTTATTCCCTCTCTCACACTTTTCTTAGCTCCCTGGGAGCAAGAGAAGAGTTCCTTAAGTCAGAGACTTGTATTGGAAAGACTGTTATCTTCAGGGTCAGATACAGTTTTCCTTGTTTGTCTTGGATTATGATCATATAAGACACTAATTCTGAAAGGGAATTCAGCATCAGAGAGGAACTGCAATTTTGTACCACAGTATGAGAAATGGAGCATCTTTTTTTACATAGTATCTGACAGCATGAGGCACACCTTCAAATGGAATCTTTTGTATGCTTCCCCTGGAAAAATCAATAGAATGAGTAGTGGCTTGAAAGTGAAAAGAGGACATGGTCTTCTCCTGTTGAATGTACACTTTAATCTTTAACTATGTAGTAATTCTACTGAAGAAAATATTAAAGACAGACCCTAGAATGTACATATCTTTCTGGGTAAGAGAATTATTAAAATACCTCAACTGCAGAGCAACATAGCATAACACTGATGTTAACATAGAATTCTGCTCTTGGTGGGATGGTGGGTGTGTGTGTTCATGGATTTTGACTGTTGAGCTCAAGTTACAGTATTTGGTGGGATGTGTATTTTTTGACTTATCAAGTACTTTTATTCATGTAAGGTTGATAAAAAAATAGCTTATGGAAGACTCTGAATTTAAAAGGTGACTAATAGTAATGCTTTGGTTTTTTTCAGTCATCTAATACAAATAGAGATTCTTTGAACCAAAAAGCTGAAAGTGGAGCTTTAGTAGAAGTTGCTAAATCTAAGATACATCAGGTAAGTGTCTGCATATTATTTATACAAGAACATTAGTTAAAGTTTTTCTTAAAACAGAGTGCCATCTGCTTCAAATCTAGTTAGGCATGAATTGTGGTACTCTGTCTCTCTTTGAATTTCATGTTGTAAAACAAAAGAATGAATTTATCTAACTCTTCCTTTTTGCAAGATCCATGTCCAGGAAAAACAGACCTAGCACAAAACCCATATCTCAGTTCCTTCAGTTTGTCAGGATTTTTTTAAACTGCAGTTAGCTGCACTGACTTTTTATCTGTTAAACCTCCAATAGTCTAAATCAGCTGAGGTTTTATTTTACTGTCCTGTTCTGTGGAAAAATATGTGAAGAAACAAAACTGAGTTGAGGAAGTTGTTTGAGAGTAACCCTGAAGAGAAGGACTTGGAGTGTTGATTGACGAGAAGCTCAACGTGAGCTGGCAGTGTGCTCATACAGACTGGAGTGCCAACTGCATCCTAGGATGCATCAAGAGGGGTGTGGCCAGCAGATCAAGAGACGTGATTCTGCCCCTTTACTCTGCTTTTGTGAGACTCCACCTCAAATACTACGTCCAGTTCTGGTCTCCCCACCATAAAATGGACATAGATCTGTTGGAATGAGCCCGTGTCAGGGAGGCTGGATCAGATGATCTCTAGGGTCACTTCCAACCTAAGCCATTCTATGATTCTATTGGTGCCCTTGGTTTAATAGGTAAATATCTGGGATTAAGAGTTTAGATTATTTGTTTGTCATTTTAAGTGGTAGCACCTGTTTGAATATTGAGTAGCCGTTGACCACATTGAGCAAAATGTGCATCTGCTTACTGTAAATACAAAGCCTATAAATTTGTTGAAAGTACTAATAGAATTCTTCTTTAGGAAGACTTTTTCTACAGCTTTTTACTACCTGTTTTTAAAATGTATATAAAAGATTCTGTACTAAGTCTAGATATGGTTCATCTTGCAAACCTCCACAAGTTACTGTTTTATTTAACGAACTTAATTTTCTAACAGTATAAGGTGAGAGCCTATATCCAGATGAAGTCACTAAAAGCCTGCAAAAGAGAGATCAAGTCTGTTATGAATACAGCTGGGAATGTAAGTATTCTTAAGGCTTTGTTTTTTTTTCTAATCTAGATCTGTTCTCTATCTTCAAACTGATTTTGCTAATTTTCTGTACAAAGAAAGGTCTTATTGATGATCGATGTCTGAAATAATGCTTTCTGTAGTCAGCTGGGTTTGTAATATCTGTTCTGCCAAGAGTAATTAAGGTACAGTTTTCTTATTTGCACTGATTTCAGTTGCTCAGAAAAAATGCACTATATTGTTAATGATATCAAAATAACAGTGAAATATAATAAACAGGTTCAGTTTGCTTAATAATTTAAGCATCATAAAGTAAGTTTTAGTCTATTATAAATGCTACAGGTATTACAAACTTCTAATGTCACTTGTTGTTTAAACCAATTTATAGATTAATTCTGGGATACACAGTTTTGTTTAGTGTTTTTTTTTTTGTTTTTGTTGAAATTTTGTGGAGGCTTACCTCTCGCTAGAATTTTGTTTGTTTTTTTATATAGGAGTTTTTAGCTGAGAATTATGTCCGCTATCCCAGATAAATTCTATATTAGCTGAGGAGCAGGGGATGGAAAGAGACCACTTCTCTTTAGTTGCCCGTCTGAACAGCTGCTAGTTAGAAGTCCTTCTGCCTGTGAGGTCTCTTGTGGCAGACCAGAAAGATCACAAATGAGGGGGAAGTTGTTGAACTCTACAGGGGGGGAAGTATGGGGAGGAATGTACCAGAAATCACAAATTGGAGATAGATCCTCTTAAACTGAAGGGAAATTCTCTGCACTTAGCTGTTTCTCTAACAGAGTTCTCTAGAATAACGTTGAGTTTTAGTGCAGTAGCAAGGAGTTTTGCAGCATAGTTTTGTAGTTCAGGAGGTAAGTGTTTATCACGTGCTCAACAAGGAAATGCTATTTCTTGAAAGTATTAGGGCCTAGGCCCATGTATTTTTAAAATGGCAGCAGAGGCATGCTGTTTGTGGAGTTAACACTAGCAGCAGAAATAAAACAAGGGATAACTATTGTTCTCTCCTTCACAGTCAGCTCCTTCTCTCTTTCTTAAGAGCAATTTTGAATATTTGAGAGGCAATTATCGTAAAGCGGTCAAGCTTTTAAACAGTGCGAACATTGCTGAACATCCAGGCTTCATGAAAACAGGTAAAATGGAAAAATCTTCATCCTGCAAATACATAAAATTATTATCAATGAGCAGTGCTATTATACTACACAATTAAGTGCTAGTAATATTTAGTTAAGGGAGTAGGCCCTGAATGTCCTAGGTTTATATGCTGGATATGTTTTCATCTTTCTCATGCTCCTTCACATAACACTGTTATGTTTTTTATTGAATGTTCTAGACAATGCAGCAGTTCAGTTACCTATGAAAATGGATTTGTGGAAGTGCAAATGTAATCTTTGCAAGGCTTATACTTGGGTCTCTAAATCAAGGCATGAAATGAGAAGCAATGTACTAGATCTAGAAATGAGATTTCAGAGTGTACTCAGTTGTAGTAGTTGTAATGATGATTGTGGGGGAAATACAAATATTTATTGAAGTGTTAAGGTTTGAGTTCTGATGCATGCCATTTTAAGTTACTTTCTTATTGTCAAAAGCATTTCTTGCTTGTATGGTTAGGAAGATAGATTTGTTTTATAAAACTTGGAGGCAAGTAACATTATTTGAGAATTTTCTTTTTACAAGAGAAAAAAAGAAAATTCTAAATGTTTGAAAACCTGAAGTGCTTGTGCACTAAGTTCTATGAAAACCTCCAGGTGAATTTACCTCAACTTGCAATCTATCAAATTGGCTTTATACCTGTCTCCTAGAATATGGTGTACAAGAGCTGTACAATATGTAGCTGCTTATATATAGGTTATTTCAGGTGAACCCTTCAAGAGAACTGGAAGGGCGTGCAGAAATATGGGTTGTTAAAATGCTTGGGAGCCAGGGGTGTAACCTGCCTAACCCATGAAAATCTCACTGAAGAATGTGTTTCATAGACTACCATAATATGCTGACCCACGTGAAATTGGTGGGAGCATTTTATGGGCTCAGTAACACGTTTCAGTTTACAAAAATGGTCCTTTGCTGTTCTCTCAGGTGAATGCCTAAGGTGTATGTTCTGGAACAATCTTGGATGCATTCACTTTGCAATGGGAAAGCACAATTTAGGAATTTTTTACTTTAAAAAAGCCTTGCAAGAAAACGATAATGTGTGTGCACAGCTAGGAATGGGCAGCTCAGATCCAGGTAAGTCTTTCAAGAGATAAATATAGATGGTGGAAGAGGGGTGGGTGAATCAAGAAAATAGAGTATGGAAGCTTTCAGTAGTTACCAGCAAAATTCTGCTTCCATCTTTTTGTAGAGGACAGTATAAGGAGGGTGAGAATTTTCATTGTAACCTGATTTCAGAATATAGTTGCTTTTACCAGTCATAGATGTTGGTGAATTTTTTTTTTTTTCTGTTCTTTTTGATGTGTCATGGAGCTGGGGCAATTACTTCTATCTCATTTGTAGTCTTTGACTGTCACTGAGGGAGGAGGTAGGATGAAATGAAGTCTTTATGACCTAATATGCATCATTAAAGATGTTATTGTCCTGCTGATAGTAGGTAGAGTCGTCAGGACTTGAAGGGTGTGTGGGGTTTGTTTTGGGTTTTCCCGTGTTTGGCTGGTTTTTAACTTGGAAGATACAGAAAATGTGGAGTACAATACTGTTAAATTAGCATTTGGGAATGGTGTATTTCTCAGACTTTCTTACTGAAGAACTCCCAGCCTTGTATGAGAAATGTTCACCTATTGTTTAGTTTTATGGTTGGTTTTATTGTCAGTTTTATCCATCTAGTTTTTAAGTATACAAAAGACAAGAAAATAAACATTATAATTTTTCTTACTCTCATGAATAATACTTAAAGTTTTTTTCTTTTCCAAGTAAATGATTTCATGATGAAGTGGTAATTTTAAATTTTCTTGGTTTCTTTAAAATTTAGTTATCACACACTTTGTTTTTTCTATTCTTCCCCTGGCCCTATACCTAAGTGCAGTCTTAGGTGCCATTGTGAAGACAGAGCATTTTATGGTTGTGATAATTTCTGCAATGAAAGGAGATTTCTTGTTGTTGTTTTGGGGGTTTTCCCACAGCTTTCCCTCCCTCCCCCATTATGTTTTCTGCTCTCCTAAATTCCATATCCAATATGGTGTAATCCTTTTCTGCAGGTAAAAAATTTTCAGGGAGACCCATGTGTACGCTGCTGACTAACAAACGTTATGAGCTGCTCTACAACTGTGGAATTCAGCTCCTGCACATTGGGAGGCCCTTAGCTGCCTTTGAATGCCTGATTGAGGCAGTCCAGGTGTATCACTCCAACCCTCGTCTCTGGCTGAGAATAGCAGAGTGCTGCATTGCTGCCAATAAAGGGGTAAGTAGATTTGAAGTTCCTTATTTTGATTGTAGTTATGAAATGAATGTGATCACAGAATGGAAGAAGTAATACCTTGGGTTCAACTATTCATTTTAAAGGCCTCAATGCTGCAACACCTCTGTGTAAATACAAATTATTTTTGTGTGTATCTGTGTTTGTATGTTTAATCTGAAGCTGCAACAGGTGGAGGAAAACTACTACAAAAAGAAATGTCTTGAGACAATTAATTGACTTTTCTGAGATCAGAAGAATTTGAATAGGCTATTCAGAAGTTGGCATGAGATGAAATAAAAGCATGTAACTGGCTGTTAGAGCTGTGCTTCTATAAAGTTACAAGTTTTTCACTGGAGAGACTCATTAAGCATGATTTTTATTTTGTCAAATTGCCATCATACCCCTTTGTCATTTCAGCTCAAAATCTGAGTCTTGAATTGGTTTGAAGCATGTTGTATTTCTTCAAGTCGTCAAATGGTTTACCTTGCTTTGTCTTGAAATAGTTTAATGAAAAACAATGAAGACAGTATTTGGAAAGAAACTTGTATTACTCTCTAATGAGGCATTGCTTTATAACAAGAAGCACTATCTTCTTTCCGATCTCTGCTCAAAGTGGATACTAACACTAATAGTTGACTTACTATTGATATTTCATGATGCCTCAGCTTTCAACACTCATTTAATATTGGTTGCAAAATCTTGGTATTTTTATACATATATACATAAAATCCATATGAAATAATATATGGTATATATTGAAAACAACAAAAAAACACCTGAAAGTAATTTTGTCTTTTTTTTGTGTCAGCATGAGAATTAAACTTACTCAGGATTGTTTTTCTAAGTTCTGTAGTTCCCAGGATTTCTGTTCCTGGATTGCAGAAATAAGGTGAAATTGGAATTGGACTCCAGATAGTACCTGAGGGAGGAAAATTTTTGTGGCTGCTTTTGGAAGTTTGATATTCACTTTGAGGCTTAATGCACAGAAACAAGTTTCTTAATCTCTTTTGCTGATATTTTGAGGTGGAAGAGTTGTTTTTTTTTCTTTTTTTAAAAATTTTTGACTGAAACATTTTGGATTTTATGTTTAGACTCTAGGAATTGCAATACTGCCTCTGAGTGAGGTTCTAGCTAAAATTTTAGCTGGAGTAGTAGGAGAAAACCTGAAGCTATCCAGTAAGAGATCCTTTGTCTTTACTTCAAGTCTAGATACTACTCTGTAAAAGGTATGACTGAAAGCATGTTGCTGCTCTTTTAGGAGACAGTAAGGTTGGGGTTTTTATGTCTTATTGAATACATTTATTTGATCAGACTGGTGAATAATCCTGTTTAAAAATAATATATAGCACTATGTCCTGGGACTTCATTGGAAGATACAAAATTTCTTGTAGAGGGCTACTAAAAGCATTTGATTAAAAAGAAGCTTCCTTCCTAGGATGTTCTTAATTATTTACAGTTTTCTTAATGTACAGTACAAGTAATATAAACTCCTTGAAATACTTTTAAAAAATTGTCTACTGTAAATTCAGTATCTAGATTCAGATGTGGCCTCATTTTATGGGACTAAACTGGATGAAGATAACAAGATGTGCTTTGATTTCCACTGAACTCTTTGCATGTCATCTTCTTTTTCTTCATGCAGCCAAAACAAATCCAGAGTTTCATTATTTCCTCACTAAATTGCCACTAGAGGTTGAAAAGGATGAGACTGTAGTGTGGCTAACCTAAAAGTGGCATGGGCTGAGGAAGCCAAAGATCAGCCTTCTCCATCCTGAAGCTGTCATGATCTCAGCTGCTGGGGAACTGAATCTGTAGCTGCTTAGATTTTCATTCCTCTGCTGGCCAAGTTTGTGAAAACCTGCTGACAGCAGACATGCTGCATGTGCTCTGGGGCATCTTAGTTCCAGCCTGTTGTTCTATGTCTAAAATAAGCCAGACTTCAGAAGAGTGGGGACAGGTTCGTTCATTTTTAGACCAGAAAACAGCACCAAAATAGTTTCTTTTGACATGCTTCTATGTGAAGTTAAGAGATTCTCTGTTTAACTGTAATTCATGACTCCTTTGTGTGGGTGGGATGATATAATCTGTAATTACATGATCACATGTCATTATTTCCACAATATGCCCATTTCCCTTGGTGCACGAGATGGGTGGGATTAACTGAGCAAGTGGCTGTTGCGCGGGGAGCCCCAGAAT